CGGGGACTGGGGGTGACCGCAGCGGGGGCGGGGCGGGCGGCCACTGCTCGGGGATGGAACTGCGCTTTCCAGTCTAGTCTTCCCGACGCACCGACCTGGGTGGCTGTGGGCCGATCCCCGCCGGCCAGTCATGGGCGACCGGGAGCGCAACAAGAAGCGGCTGCTGGAGCTGCTGAGTGCGGCGGGCACCGGCAACGCTCAGTGCGCGGACTGCGGGGCAGCAGGTAAGAGCGCCGCCTGCTCGGCTCCTCCCCGGGGCACTGCGGGACCCCGCCAGGACCACGGCCTCAGACCTGACCCCCACCGCACTCTCCGGACCTGACACTCCGTTCACCTTCAGACCCCTGCCGCCCCGGTGCTCTGTCCAGCCTGCGCCTCACCCCTCGGGGCACCCCTGGGTCCCAAGGGCTGCACTCTGGATTAAGGCACTTCCCAATCTTGGCTTCCGATACCCCACACTTAGAGGGGCCCAGACCTCGAGCCCAGGAGCCCAGACCTCGAGCCCAGGAGCCCTGACCCCCTAGCTGACTTGTCTTCTTTCTTGTTCTTGGGCATCGGTCGGGCTCTTTCCCCGTCCCTGGTCCACCAGCCTCGGACCCCGATGTCCCGAGGGGGGCCGAACTCAGATACCCCCACCTACAGCTTCCAGACAGGAGCCCCGGACAGGCCTGCCCCCTCCCAGTGCCTCTCCTCTCGGTTCCTCCTGAATCCCATCACTTCCACGTCTCCCGTCTCAGCCCCACACACCCATGCCCTGTGCTCTCTCCAAAACCTCAGTCCCTCGGGGGCCTGGTGGGGTCACCAGACAGCTCCATCCTGGGAGCTCAGTTAATCCAAGGCGGGGATGTCGCCAGGGAGTTCAAGGATCTTATCACCTAGATTCTCCCTCTCTCAACGACCCCACTCGCCCTGGTTTCCTTACCTTGCCCTCCCCCCAACCCCTTTCCTGTCCTTTCACCCCTCAGATCCTGACTGGGCTTCTTACAAGCTGGGAATCTTCATTTGTCTGAACTGCTCCGGTGTCCATCGTAATTTTCCAGACATCACCAAAGTGAAATCCCTGAGACTTGATTTCTGGGACGACAGCGTTGTGGAGGTAAAGTGAGGTCGGAGAAGGCAGTCTTTGAAGAAGGCTTTCCCCAACTCCATCTCATAAAGAGGAGGAAGCCTTGGGGGGTTCAGAGAGGAGCAGTAACCTTAGCTGTAGTTTAGATAGAAACTCAAGAGTTCAAATCCTTCCCCCATCGCTGCTTACTTACAAGCTATGAAACCCTGATTTGGTGACTAGTGTGGTCCCTCTGCTTCCACTTCTATGGTCTGGGGATGCTGCCACCATGAGTCCTGGAAGGATGAAATGTAGGCACCCAATTTTCTTATTGAGGAAGTACCTAGACTGGAACAAAAGTGTCCTGATTCATGGTCTATGGTTCCCTTCCTCTGCCCCCACACCAGAAAGGGGGATGCATTGCTCTTGTGACCTCTGGGGATGGAAGATGTTTAAGCCTAAATGATTATACACCACTTTGGCCAGAAAAGTCTTCCACGAGCAGGCAGTTTTAAGTCGTGCTGGTTTGCTGAGGGTCAGTTGGGGAAGCGGGTTGCATTTACTGAGTCTTCTCCAGGTGCTGTGCTCATTTGGCTTTCCTTATTTGCTCATTCAACATAGGATGAGCATAAATCTATGTATGCTGGGTCCTGGGAGAGAGATATAAACAAGACGAGGTCTCTTCCTGTATGGAATGTATTTTCTAGTGCAGGAGAAAGACTGGAAATGAATACATACACCTGAACATTACTTGTGTCACGTAACACCTTTCCTGGGTAGATAATGATTTACCCACCCTGAAGTTAATAGGATCCCACAGTAAATGAGTGGCACAGTGGGGATTTAAACCCTATTCTCTTTGGATCCCAAACGCTTGTAATTTTTTTTTTTTTTATTTTCCTTGCTCCCTCTCATGTACATTTCTTTTTTTTCTTCTTTTTTTTTAATTTTTTTTTTATTTTATTATTTTGTGTGTATACCGTCAAATCAGATCTGACTGGTACAGGAGGATGACATTGCCCCTCCTTCTCCAGCAGAGCATGTGGTGGACTTGAACCACGTGCCTCTGGGATTCATGTACATTTCTTGACACAGTTCTCTAGCTGTCAAGGACAAGAATAATAGGGCTCGCTCTGGTGGAGTGATGTGTGGGTGAGTGAGGTGGGATGGAATGTGGGTGAGTGAGGTGGGATGGGGTGTGGGTGGGTGCCTTAGCCTCAAATATGCCCTCTGCTGTAGGGTTCTCAGATACCAGAGAATTCCATTCAACACCCTGACTTATGGCACCAGCATCCACTGTTTCCATCTTCTAGCCACATCTATCACCTGCAATCTTGTAGACATTGCTACTAGGGGTCCTGGCCATCTGTGGAAAGGTTAAGTGGAAGAACATGGGCTTTGGAGTCAGATAGGTCTGGGTTCAAATCCCAGCTGTGCCACTTTTTAGCTGGGTCACCTTGGGCAAGTCATTTAACTGCTCTGAGCATTTGTTTCCTCATCTCTCACACAAGCAGCTCTCATGGCCTAGTGGTAAGGAACTGCACTGCCAATGCAAAGGCACAGCTGCCCCGTGGGCAGTCTCCCATGTGATTTATAGCCTGATGGTTGAGGTCCAATGATGGAGAGGATCAGATGAGCTAACGTGTGAGAATTATGAAGTGATCCGCCGAAATGAGGCATGTTCATTATTGTGCTTCATTTTTCACACTGACTTGAAACCCCAGGTTGAAAAATCACTCTCGGGGGCAGTGTCTTCTGATACAGCCTAGGAGCCAGTGGGACCAGTGCCTTTCTTGGTAGACTGTGGTTTCACTTCACTTTTTTAAAAGTTCTAATATCCCCCATTGCTCTTGTCTTGCAGTTTATGACCCACAATGGGAACCTCCGTGTGAAGGCCAAGTACGAAGCCCGAGTCCCTCCTTTCTACTATGTCCCCCAGGCTGATGACTGCCTGTAAGTGCGTGACTGCTTAGGGGCTGGTAGAGGGGTCTTCCTTGTCCCACCTCATCTACCCACACCCCTTCCCTCCATACCCACTCATATCCCTTCCCACCTCATCCACCCACACCCCATCCGTCCTCACCCATCCACACCCTGTCCCACCTCACCCATCCACACCCC